AAGTGAGACACAAACCATTCCCAGCATGGCAACCCAGGCTACACCCTGCAAGGTCACATTGACAGGAAGGAGCCTGGCCTCTGGAATGGAAAGTTCTCCTTTTACCTCTGACATCCTTTTATGAGGACAAGTGATCATGTTCCTTGACTGCACTACATTTAGTTGATTCCATTGCAACATCTAGAGGTCATTTTTATTGATGTGTCATGCCAGTTCCCAGGAATACAGAAATCTTGTTTGTTACACAATGATAAGGCATAGTTTGAAGGAGAATTTTGCTGTGACAGGGTCTCAGTTACAGTTCAGAAGTTCAAGATATGTTTATAAGGCTACAGGTGGAGCACATCCATACATACATTTGTGTACATGTAGCTATTAAATTAACATATGTACATATGTGTATACATACATATATAAACATGTATGTATGTATATATATATATATACATATACACACGCATATAAAATTTCTAGTTACTATGAGCCTTAGTTACTGTGTAAAACCTCATCCTTCTTTTTAGGAGTTTCCTGGGTCAAAGAAGCATTGGTATAAGGTCTGATCCTTGTGCTCACTGAAGGGGAAAGGAATCTTTGTCATCTCTAGCATGCTTGTGTGCCCTGAGCAAGGATTTTAGATATTTCCCATGAAGTGCTTCATCCAGGTCTCTTTCAACTGTAAAAACAAATCTTCTTCCTCAGTCTGCATTTGTGTTTAGCTATAAAACCCATGCTCAGGTAAAGGTAGGGCAATCAGGATGAAAACAAAATTTCATGAACGAACTCTATTTTTTCAGAGGAGGAAGAAAATGAGGACTGGGTGAGCCTAGCCTCACTGTAGGGACCACATTGCTGTGTCCACTAAGACATGTACTCCTATCTTTTTCTTCTGCTCCTGCCATTGCACAGGTAAGGTCAGGTTTAAGTACAAAAGTCAGCCTATAGCAATCTGATTTTCAGAGCTTTAAAAATCTTTACAGTGATCCTTAGTCACTTACCTATGTTTGACTGTGTTTGCAAGTCCTCTCTCCCAGTCTGTGCTGACTCAGCTGTCCTCCCTCTCTGAATCCCTTGGATCTTCTGCCAAACTTACCTTCACCTTATTCACTGTTCACTGTTAGCCATGGCACAGCCTGGTGCCATCAGAAATCAGGGATCCCTCCATAACCTCTCCTGAGCTACTAATAAGATTCAACAAAAGACCTTCTCTGAATCCAAATATTCCCCAAGCATATTTCTTATGGTTATGCATGTCTCTGTGCTGCAGCCTGAGAATGAGGCAGACTGTAGGTGCAGTCCATTTTCAGCCAGCTTTAATACTGGGGCAGTGCTTAAATCCCTGTGAGGATGTCCTATAAATATCTCCCCTTTACACTCTGGATCTAAAGCAGTTACTTCTACCAGTGACTCTGACCATATCTAGTTCAGTGCTAAATTTGTTCATATTTGTTTAAGTAAATCTGTAATTTTCCAAGGGATAATCGCATAAAAATTTCTTCTCTTCCTTAGGTAATTACAGTGTTAATTTGGACTTTCCTAATACCTTTCACTCTGATCATGTTTTTCGGGAATCATTATACTCCAGAGAAATGTTGGAGCAAAAAGCAGATGCTTGACCCCAACTATTATCAAATAGTAGTATAAAATTCATTCCTGCATGGTCTCAACACACTGGTCAGTAACTATCCCTGTTATTAATGAAGCCAACAAACCAAGAAGCAATACCTGCTCAAGAGTAATTTCATGTTTCCCTTTACCTGTTATTTCCGGCATCTCTCTGGAACTCTCCTTCTGTGCTAATGTTCAGAGGAAGCAGGTCTCAGTGGCTTTGTGGCTTTTAGTTAACACTGTGTTACCCACAGTAAATCCAACACTGTGTCTGTCACCTTTCAGTGAGCACGGGGACTCCCATATGTGGATCTTTCCCATAGAATCAGACTCTGCAATGACCACTTCTCTTCTGTACCCCAAGAGGATCTTTTGCTCATTCCTGCACTTCAGTGAGGTTGGGGCACCCAGAGATCAAAAACTACTCAAAATGATTAAGATCCATCCAACAGGAGTATATAAAGAGATGAGTTTCCAGTGCTTCACAACTGAGATCAGGAGGATTATGGTTCCAGGCCAGCTTGAGCAAAATGTTCATAATACTACATCAGAGCCATTGGTAACCATGGTGGGGCACACTTGTCATCACAGCCACATGGGGTGCTGAGATTGGGAGGAGGGCATTTCTAAGCCAGCCTAGGAAAAAAAGTTTGTGAGACCCCCCATCTCACCATAAAAAAAGGTGGGCACAGTGATGCATATCTGTCATCCCTCCTATGACAGGGAGCACAGAGTTAGAAGGACAATGCTCCATGCTTGCCTGGGCAATAAGCAAACCTTATCTTTGAAAAGGTAGGGGAGACTGAAGGTGTATGTGAAGCTGTAGAGTACCAGCCTAGCAAACACAAATCCCAGTACATCCTAAAAACAAAAAAAAAGAAAGTAATAGGAGAATCAGGGAGATGCAGAAGCTGTGTCCTCACTCTGGGGTTTCAGGAAGCCAACTCTGGCTGGATGCTGACCTGAACTCTTCACACTGTTCCTGCACAGGTTACTGAATAAAGTACTTCAGGCAAATGGTTCATTAGAAGCAGGTTCATTGCTACATCTCCATCTCCTATGCAGTATGGGGTCTTTGTAATGGCTACACATAATAGTGAGAATCAACCATGACATCTGGGGGATTATCTGATATGAACCAGCCTGCACCCTGTGCCTTTATTTGTCTTCCTGTGCCAAATATGTGTCTGCTGTCCTGCTACCTTTGTTTCCCCTTAGTGAAATCCTTTGAAATTCATTTCATCAATGTTTCAACTGAACAAAATATGTGGACCAGAGCAACAGCACAGAAGATGTTGCAAAAGAGGGCTCCATGAATTTTCTCTCCTGAATACACAATAAAAATCACTATTGAAGTTGTGAGAATGATCAGACTCAAGTATATTGGAAAGATGAAATCAACTTACACATTTGCTTTATCCAGGGAGTGCTGATGGGGACAGAGTTTGGCACTAGACAAATTCTGGCAAATTCTGACAAAGAGATAACCAAATAATCACTTTAAAAATCACAGTGACAAAAAATGTCACCTTTGGAAGTAACAAGAAAGCAAGTTCCATTGACAGGTCAATATGAAATAAACTGAAAATGTTAGTGAGGCAGGATGTGTAGAAAATTAATTATTTTATCCAAAACTAAAGTAACTGTGCAAATATAAAAACTTCCAATATTGAATTATTGTTATTTTCACTTCTAACATTTTACCATGTGAATGAAAAGAGAGATGCAGAAACCAAGCATTATAGATGAATGCAAATGGGCAAAGAGACTAGCAATGTTATTTATGGCCATAACATCATAAAAATCGACAGGGAAGATGCCAGGACAAGAGTAGAGATAACATATGCTATAAAAAGTAAGTTGATGTCAATGTAGCTACATTGTCATTAATGTAAGATGTTAGCCACTCTGCGCACAGTGATTCCTATGAAAAGAATTTTGAGTCCAAGGGAAAGCATATGAAAGTGATCCAAATTGATATGTTGCAAAAAATCATTGAAGCACAATGAAAGTAATAACGGAGCAAACAGAAAAAACAATAACCAAATAGGTAAGACATGTCTTAAGCTGATATAAAATGACAGAAGTACTTCATGATCAGGAAATACATCAAATGGAACATATATATCAACGTTCCTAAAAGTAAATGTAGCCTAGGACAGAAATGATGTCATGTTCTCTACTTATTACATTTTTGACAAAAGGCTAGAGATGATCTTAATACTCTTCTAAAGTAACAAGACAAATGGAAAAGGAACTAGACTGGTCACCCTCCACTGGGGAATTCCACCTGTCTGTATACTGCTGGACAGGTCATGGTGAGCACAGCTAGATCAAAGTGAGCCTGAACTCCTCTGCAAACCCTTTCAGGTGACCAATTCTTTGGAGTCACATGAGAATCAGGAAGGGTCCTGTCCTGAACTTATCCACCAGTAGGGGGAAGCAGAGCTACACTAGGAGCAGGGGGCCATCAGCTCTTCCCTTGAGACTATGAAAAGAGTCCTTAACTTTCAAATGCTCAGTTCATACTTCTGATATGGGGCTATGCTTGGTTGAGTGATAAGATCTTCATGGCTTAAAGGACCTCTGATTACCAACCAACCAGATCGCATCTTATGGAGCCATGACCCAAACACCTTCACAGAGATCCAAGGGGAAAAAGTGTGCATGTTAGGTAAGAGTGGTTTCATGCACTTTTAACAAAATTAGACACTATGACCCAAAAAGATAAACAAGATTGTATTCCCTAATCTTGTTGCTACTTTTGTATGGGTAGAAGGGCAAATAGAAGGGAGCAAACACCTGGTGTGAAAGGATGTTAGAATCTGTGAGGAAACAGAAAAAGCAAATTGTTTCTCACCTGACAATAGGTCATAAAATAAATGATTTGAACAAAATGCTGATGACAAAGGGTGATATCCTAATGAAAAGTCTAGGAACAGACAAAACTTTAACTGGAACATGCAGAGAAGAGAAGGCAAACAAGTAGAATGGTCCACGTTCTACCTTCAGCTGAGTCATTTGAAGAACCATGTTTAAATCATCAGTAGCCCAGGGCCAAGTCCTTGGAGGGTCCAGAGCTCTGCTAAGCAAGACCCAGGACACAGCCTTGGAGAGTCAGGGAGTAAACTTTGTTTCAATAGTAGAGGTGACTGAACAGGATTCTTTGTATTCCATGGCAGATTTTCTGATCAGAGGAGAAGATGGAGGAAATTAGCATTCTATCTCTCCTCTTCACTCACTAATTCTTACCTCTTTCTAGAATAATGTTCCCTACTAACCCTCAATGTGGAGCTACAGGGCAGGGGTAAATTTGCATAAATACTTAACACTCACTGCCATAAAGGACATAAGAAGGGATAAGGGAGCCCAGGTGGAGCCCAGCTGTGCTGTGAATTATCTGGAGACACAGCTCTGTAGTCCTCCAGCATGGCAAGGATCCATCTCTTAATCCCTCTCCTCACTCTGTACACAGGTGAGCATCCTAGCAGTACCCAGGCTCAGCTCTCACAGGACATTGATCTGGGGCTGACTCTGAGTTTAAGTGCAACAAGGCACAGAAAGGGACAGTAGTAACCTTCCTCTACTCTCCTCTCTTGCAGGCTCTCTGGCCTCCTATGAGCTGATTCAGCCTCCCTCAGCATCAGTGGCCCTTGGACAGACAGCCACCATCACCTGCTCTGGACATGCACTGCCAAAGAACTATGCACATTGGTATCAGCAGAAACCTGGCCAGGCCCCAGTGCAGGTGATATACAAAGATAGTGAACGTCCCTCGGGGATTCCTGACCGATTCTCTGGGTCCAGCTCTGGGACAACAGCAACTCTGACCATCAGCCAAGTACAGCCTGAAGATGAGGCTGACTATTACTGTTTGTCATCTGAGAGTGATGATGCTCCTCACAGTGACTCAGGCAGATGGGGAAGTGAGACATAATCCCCTTCCTCGTTTGGGTCACACAAACTATGAGGAAGCCTTGCACACTTCACTCAGCAATGAAGCCCCCAAAAGCATTTTTCTTTAAGCCCTCAGGGATGCTCTGCAGTGTTGAATCAGGGTCGATTTAGAACTCTCAGACAGCTTGTTTGGTTATTTATCATTCAGTAAATAAGAGGAAGGTGATTTGGACTAGAAGGACAGACAGATGGAGGGGTATATTACTGTCATCATCACATAACATCTTTATGTTAGTAACTGAAATACTGCATGTATTAGACCCTAGATCTGCTGATTTCACTTTCTAAAGTTTAGCTTTCTCTGGAAGTCTGGGATTCTGGAGAAAGAAAATCAGTGAGTTTATTTCATGTCCTCTGCTAGATTCTCTTTTCAGGCCTTATCTATCCCCTAGTAAAGCAGAAGTTGTGACAGTTCACAAAAGGAGGTCTGACCCTTGCTGGAAAGTGCTCTTTTACCCAGAAATCTATGTCTTCATGTTCCTGTTCTTTCTCAGAGATGTTAAAGTTAATGACTTACTGGGGACAAGAATCCAAGGCCTTCTCCTTATATAGGATGTCTTAGAGGGCCTCCAGCTCACATCTTCCACTATGCATGCTGAGTGCTCAACTGCCATCGCATGGAGACTCTGCCTCTTTCTGTCCATTTGCTGCCTCCCTCACTGCTTTCTTGATAGCCTGTGCTTCAGCTTTCTATCTGAACAACTGTGATCAGACACTGAAACGAGACTATCTGTCCCCAACATCTGCCATGAGTTGAATTTGGAGGCTACTCTGCCATAAAGATTCAGCTCCTGTCTTGAATTTTCAGATTTCCAAAGGTGACACCTATTTCTGACACTCTCATGTTCTTATTTATTTTATTGGTGGCCTTGAGATTTTGAACTCAGGGCCCTACACTGATTAAGCAGGCAATCTAACACTTGAGCCACGTGTCTAACACAATCTTTGCATTTTATAAGATGAAAAAGAGACTGGTGCATTGGGTATTCAGTGTTACAAGAGAGTTGGAGTGTAACATCCACAGAAGGTGAACACAGGAATTGAGGACTAGTTACACATATCTGGACAGTGACTCAGTACATGCACACCTACAGGTGGGTGCTACAGAATTTAATCATTTTCACTTCAACTCTCCACATCTTGTACAAAATGGTATGCTTGATACTTTAGAAGAACTTTTGTCAATGTCACAATGTAGCCCCAAAATAACAATAAAAATACAATGATTCTTTTCAGTCATCCAAATACAAATGTAGATATGATCAATTCTAGGAAACACAGTTCAGCGTGTAAAAGTGGTCTGCAGTGAAGGCTCCACAACTCTCATTTGTCAGTAGGAAGCCCATCTATTTCAGTGAGGCACATTATCTCCAAATAAAGGCTTTGATGAGAACTATGTCCTACATAATATGATAAAACCATCCACAAACAATGGAAATAAGAACACTGCACCCTACAGGAGAATAGAAGATATTTTTCATATTCTATCCCCACGATTTTTCTTCCTCTTTGATATCTTACAAAATTATAAGGATAAAACTTACTACTTTACACACATATTATGTTTGAACCCATTGGGATCATATGGAGGATAAAAACGTGTTTCATATATACATGTAAACACACTCATAGCGAAATGAGAAAGGTGTACTTTTTATGCATAAATTCCTAATAACTGTGACTATAATTGTTAATTTTCTTGGTCTTATTTTTAATATTCTTTTTGGCATTAAAAATATCTTAGGTAGTTTGAAGCCATTGTGAATCATGCCAGTTGGGATAACAAAAACTTCTCCAGGAAGTACTGATCCAAATAACAGCCCTGCTCCATTGGATTGAATTAATTTTCATGTGTGTGTTTGTGTGGCAACTTGATATGTGAGATCAATCACTAGCAAATACTCCATTTTGCTTGCTGATTCTTTCTCATTACTATTTAAAGGGGGGACAAAGAGCAAGTTCAAGTCAGACATTGTTGCCTCTCCAGTGGAAAGCCTTCTTCTTTTGAAGGGGAACAAATGCACTAGACCAAAAATCTGTAAGTTATAAAGAGTGATGCATCACTTTTAGAGTGGATCTCTAGGGATAATGGTGGGTGGAGTCACCCTATTTCCACACTTTGATTCCTGGACCTGCACTCCTGGTTATGGGAGAAGCAGCATCATGTGTTAGAAGGTGATTTAGAACACTTGTAGCATCCTGGAGGACAGTGTCCATCCCTGCATGTGCATTGGTCAGTCCACCTGCTTTGACAGTGACTGAAGTTACAGACCACAAAGTGAGGAGCAGTGAACGGTAGAGCATGGACTCACTGCTGCTCAGTAGTGCCCATGAAATTAACAATGTGCTCTGAATTTCCATGTGAAATACCAGAATGGTGGTAGAAGCATGAACAAGTTTCTGGATAAAGTTTTTGCTAGAATTACTTATCTACATGGATTATGCATCTATTGCAGAAAGAACTAATAGCTACCCTGCCATCATGGAAGACATTCAGTGCCATCAATTGGCCTCTTAGAGACCTGGATATTTCCCATAGGAGGAGATTCAATTTGGGAGCTCGGTGTTGGTTTCTCATGTTGTCCTATTAAGGGTTGAACCGAGGCTACAGTTAGGTCACATAAGGGAGAAGAAATTCACATGGAAGATCCCATGAAATATCACCATCCCTGCTACCATGGACACTTTATTCATGGTTCCATCCAGCAAAAACACATGTGGCTGAGGGAGGAGTTTGCCAACACTCACAGAACCAGACCCCATTCACCTTTCCTTTAAAACACTTTTCCTATGAGTTGCCTCTTTATTTAGCATTACCACAGATATATTCAGGATCTGTGCAAATACACTGGTAATTTGATAAGACCTTTATTTGCAGTAAAAAATGGGGTACGATAATTGCAGTCACTGAAAACCAGGATTATAATTCCGCAAAAGTGAATGGAAATCATGTATTTTCAGAATCTCTGCTTCTAACTTTGAGCAGCGAAAATTTCTTTTGATTCATACCCTCATAATTAATCATGGTTTTTAGTTTTAAGCATCTCTCAATATATCTCCCAATATTTGTATCATAAACAAATCAAATGTCATTATGACATTTTCATGAATGTATATATTTTGTCATATCTATCACTTCTATTAACCATTCATGTACTCCTTTGCCTCCCCACTTCCCCTTCCACATACCTAATCGTCTCCCTTTAAATTCGTGAATGTATTGATCTTTATTAAACCTAGAGATACATTTGGATAATCAGTAGATCATTGATGAAATCATGGGGAACGTATAAATATTCCAAGAATTAAATGAAGACATAACTAAAAGGAACCCTTGGGTTGTTGCAAATGTAGTTCTAAAAGGGAAGTTTATAGCAATGAGTGACTACATTGAAAAAAGTTTTAGAAACAACCTTATAATGCACTTGAAGTTCTTAGATGAACAAGAATAAGCCAACCACAAGAGAAAGTTGACAAAAAAATTGTGATGATTAAGGAAGAAATTCATGAATTATGGATAAATAGGACAATATATAAGATTAATTAAGGAGAGGGTTGGTATTTTGAAAAGATAAATATTGGACAATCCCTTAGCCAACTAACTAAATAAATAGAGAGTAGTTTTTTGATTGTTCCCTACAAGTTTCATTAACAGATAGTACCATATTTTGTGCTTTCTTTATATCATGGCATAGTCTTAATCATTCATCTTAACCTTAATTAAATAAAGGCTTATTTGATCTAATGAACTCCACTGTAAAGGTGTTGGCCTAAAATATCAGACGGATCCATTATCATAGAAAACAAACAACAATCAAGGGACAAATGAGGTATGGCAAGTTTAAAGCATGTTGGTTAAGAATCATGAGGATGAGCATTGTAATATACTTGCCATCGCTCATGTGTATGCATAGGTAGGAAGTGAGAAGACTCTAATCTTCTCTTTCTGCATTAAAATGCAGTCTGTGCTAGAATGAAGTGATGGCCAAAGGTAAATTATGAAACGATGGAGATTTGAAGTTATTCCCCAACACACAATATATGTCATTTGCAATGGCTGATAGTTGATTCTAGGCATTTAAGTTAATCTATAATAATTAGTTAATGATTGATATAATTGAGCAGAGAAGTACAGTAACAATGAATTCAAATATTGACAATTACACTATTCCCTCAGAAAATAATAAACAATAAAACATGCAGCATCACAAGCACAAGGGAAAATACATTGATATCAGCAACAAAATTTCCACTGAAAGGATTTTAAAATTTAATTCTCAAAGACAATATCAAGGAAGATGAAGAAACTTAAAATTGCTGGCTGGAAAACAAAGGAAACAAATTAATACAGAAACAAATGAACCAAAAACTACCCCAATACCACTGAAAGAAACTGTTCTCAAGGAAGTGCAAACATTGTGATGATTTCAAAAAGACATAAAATCAGTTATTGTACACATGATCAAATAGCTAAAGAAAACATGACAAAAACCTTAAAGGAATGTATAGGGAGAACGCCTTGTCAAATGTACAATATTAAAAAGGAAACAATGAATAATCACTGAACCTTAGAAAGTCAATTGGTATCATCCCTTGTGAAGAACAGAAAGAAAAAAGAATAAAAAATGTGCAAAATGAGAGAGACACATGGAATGCCCTCAAGTGTATGTACATACTCAATTGGAAATTTCAGAAGGCTTATTGGGGAAAATTCTGCATGTATCTATTGCAACATCATAATTAAACCCCTTTTACTACTGATGTATACTAAAAAATAGCAATAAATTAAATCATAAAATGTATTTGAGAAATGAGCAAGTTCCACAAATGTATTGAAAACCAGGAAATAAATCTCCATAGCATAATGATAAATAGCTCTTAATAGACATTGATGAGAGCACATATCTGTTGGACCTACTATATGAATGAATTAAAGAGAGTTAACTCATTTTGTTGTAATAATACAACAATAACACCACA